TAGTAATGTTTGAAACGCCTTACCTGTAAATTCTGAGCCATTGTCAGAACGGATGCAACTTACCTTGCCATAAGGAGTGATGTCTGCTAGAAATTTCTCTGTTGCTACAAAGGTGTCACTTTTACATTTCAGAAAGTAAACAAATACTGCCCCTGAGAAATCATCAGTAAAAGCTATGCAGTACTTAAACCCCTCTCTTGATACAGGAGAAACTGGACCTGCCAAATCCACATGCACTTTCTCCAATGATTTTTGAGATCTTGCATCAGGAATCCTACTCCTGCTGTTTACAAATTTTCCTTCTACACATGTATTACAACTTAACTTAGATGACTCAATTTTACCTGAGAATTTCATGCCCTTAACTACCCCCTGTAGTTTTATAATATCTTCAAAATTGCAGTGCCCTAGGATTTCATGCCATGTGTTAATATCATACGAGAGATTTACTTTATCTACTTCACTTACGCTATCGTTCTCATGACTGTCTATGGAAGTCAAATAGTACAACCGTCCATGTTCTTCAATTTCAACAATGGTACCATCTTCAAGGGTTAGCTCACCAGTATCTTGGGCAAATCGAAGCTCGGCTCCATTTGATGTGGCTGCCTTCACTGAGAAAATATCTTGAGGATAGGATGGTATATATAAGGCGTTTTTCAGCATCGTTTTCACACATTTTCCATTTGTATCTTTCAGAAACACTTCAGCATCCCCTCGTTTCAATGCAATATTACTGGCTCGTGTGCCATCAGCCAGTTCAATGTAATGTTTTGATGGTTTAAATGTCATGTCTATTTGCTTTAAAATATCAGTAGTAACAATGTGAGAAGTGGCACCTGTGTCAACCAACATTCCCATTCGATTGATTTTCCCTGTTGCTTCGTCGTTAACTTTGAATGCAAATGAATGTTCATCTTTAGAGGTGTTTTCTTTCTCCGACACCTGTTTGGCTTGGTCTTTGCTCTTTTGCTGACTTCTGCAGGTGCTATCCGAGTGTGTTGTACTTTTGTGATAGTTACACCACTTCTTCTCGCTCTTAGCAGGGCACTCTCTGACTAAATGCCCTCTTTTCCCGCAGCCATAACATGTCATTGTTTGCGAAGGAAACTCAGCTTTCATTACCTGATCAATTTTCGGTTTGGTGTTGAGCTTTTCCGTTTCTTCGAAGCTCCTCAACATGCTCTTAAACTTCGCGAACGTTATCTCACTTGCACTTTGGGTCACATGTATCGAGAACGGTTTATATGAATCAGGCAGCCCCTTTAAGATCATAGCAATTATTAGCCCATCGCTTAACGTTTCTTTGGCGTTCTTAAGCGCTGTTATTGCTTTCTCGGCTCTTATTAAGTAATCTGTGACTGTCTCGTGAAGTGCTTTTTCAAGTGACGTTAGCTCAGTGTAGAGTGTGATGATTCTTGGTTTGCCTTGATTTGCATAATGGTCTCGGAGTATTTGTAAAGCCTTTCGGCCATCGTCGGTAGCATCCCTCATTACCAATGACAGACTGGTGTCGTCCAAACACTGTATAAGCTCGGCGTAGCATTCTTCGTTCTTTGTTGCGTCAGCCTCTTCTTCAGACGGCAGGATAGTATCCTTTAGTTTTAATAACCTCATGTGCGCGAGGAATTTCGCTTCCCACAGTTCGTAATTGCTTTCGTTTCCATCGAAAGTCAACCTTGACCAGCGTGATTCTCTGCTGGGCCCATAACCTGTTGAAGCCATGACTTTAGAACACCGTATTTGTAATGAAATCACTCTTTATTTTCACGTTTATTACAAATGTAGTTTTGTACAGTAAGTTGCTTTCACGAGGAAGTTCAACTAACAACACAACAATCCCATCATGCATTTGTCTCTCAGTATTACGTCATACTAATATTTGGATAACATACAGTTTTATATTGAACTCAACAGCCTTGACCATCCTAATACGCCGTATAGTTGAAACTGCTACGACTAACGTTATTTAAAGATGCGGTAAAGTCCGTTCTACGCATGTATTCTTCGCATCAAAACATTCCATCAGTGGGGGAGCAACCTTTGGAATGTTGTTAATATTTCGCACCTTCCGAACTTTCTTGAATTGAATCTCTAGTCTGTATTCATTTACAAGCATAACGAACCAGAAAAGTGTTAAAAATTCAGTATAATATATATCTAATCATATTTTACAACTGTAGCAGTGAGTGCAAAATGTAAACAAAGCGTTTGTTTACATTACGGACTTTACATCACCTTTAAACCTGGTTTACACTATCAAAGTTTCTGTGATCATCGCGGTCAGGAATTTTGCATGGATCAAAATCTAAGATTTGAAGGATTTGTAAGAAATGTTTGAGCGAACTGAGCCTGAGTGTTGAACACTGAGTCAATTCCATAAACTGATATTTCGTACGCTTCAGTCCTTCAAATTTTCCTATGCAAAATTCCTACTGTGATCACAGAAACTTTGATATAGTGTGAACCAGACTTTACATCATGCAAGCATTTTTCACGTGTGTACAGTTAAGAATTTTTATCATAACGAGGGACCGACTTTCTTGTATACTACAACCAGCGGCAGCGGACAGGGCCGGAACTACTGGGGGAGGGGCTGGAATTGCGGAACGTTTTAAATATTAATTAAGGAATTTTCTGAAAAATTGAGGTCGAAAAAGGTCTGAAAAAGTAATTTTAATCCCCCATTATCTAAAACTAGTGTTTGGAAAGATTTTTGGGACGTTTTGTTTTCGAAAAAAACCGTCGTCTTCCCCCCCCCCCCTCACTCCCCCGCCAACAATTTCCGGAAATATTTGTGCTTTCCAGAAAAGGTTTTGAGGGGGGGGGGGGGGCGAATGGAAGGCGGCCCAAAATTTTTTAATTCAACCCTCCCCCTCCCCTCCCAACCAGATACCGCTCGGGACTGCCCTGGCAGCGGAACAGGTTTTATTTGGGGAAGGCTAATCAGTTCCATGTATCTAAGTTGGAAACCATAGTTAAGATTTTCAGCCAAGTGCAAACACTGCACGCAAAACATGATTTAATTGTAAAATTGAATATTTATATATAATTAAAATATGGCAGGCATTGGCTTCATACAACTAGTTGTACTTTTCGCAACTGCTCCTAGCTAGTTAGCTCTAATAAATTTATAAAATTTACACTCGAATATTTCCATCCACAAAACCCTTCTGCAATTACATCTATCGAGTGAGATGCCCATGCAAAATCCTGATGATTGATTTACCACGTGTACACCGTACATTGATATCATCTCAGTATATATCCTAAAACATCACGCCAATGACTGTTTCTTCCTGTTCTTCGTTTCCTATTGTCAGTTATATACTGTGGTCTAATTTTAATAAACGAAATGTGAGCCCACAATAATCTACAACAGCGGAGTATATTCATTTGTTGTTCATGTTACATGAAGTAAGAATATACAATCAATACAATATTAATGTTTATATGCACGAGTTTCGCGACAATTTCAACAGACAACAAATTATAAAATTTGCATTTTTAATGCACACAATAGATTCGACATTGAAATATATTACAATTAACAAGGTAAAACGGTGTTTGTCTTGTTTTACTAGACAAACTCGGCTCCTCTACTGCCTGTGCCAGAACCTTTAAACACGGGGACCCCGGGTACGAGGTTGTAGACTATGCCAGTCCTCTGCAATATCGAGTATACAAGCAAAAGGAAGGGAAAGCGTATGTACTGCTCTATTCCTGTAGTTTAACCAGAGTAATTTACATGGAACTGTTGCCTACGTTGGAAATGATCAACTTCCTCCTAAGCCTGAAACGATTCGTTGCACGAAGAGGGAGACCGAAAGCAGCGTTAAGCAGGCCATTGGAAACCGTTTCCTGGCGTTAAATAACCGTCCGTTATCTTACGTGGAGGGCGACGTGTAATTTCCGGTATTAACACCAAATTCGATGTTGTTTCTGAATAGCAATATTTGAAATCTCTACTACTTTTAGAGAGTTGTTGTGAATATAGGTGGCAATTCACGACAAAAACGTTTATATCTGCGCACATATACTGCGCATCATAAATTATATGATTGTTGCTTGAAATATAAGTTAATATTCCCAAAACGTGAGACGAAATGTTCCAACCTCGTCCCCAAAGACTGTAAAGGTTGTAAAGCATACCTAACAAACCTTTACCATCTCCCAATTTCGCGAAATATAAGATGGGCAACATGAAACTACAGTGCTCCAGTTATAGTTTGTGAAAGCTATATAAGTACATTGACACTCAAAAAAGTCATCATTATCATTATATTATTATTATTATATTAACATCTTGTAAACTGAAGATTCGAGCTATTTAAAGAAGACAACAAAATTCAAAGCAATATTTCAGACTCTATACTGACAAAGTCATTGTCAACATGCTGTAATAGTTAAGTTAACAAGCTCTCGTTGGTAAGGATGCAGCTTCCTCAAAGCATTGGCGTACCGGAAGGAAAAATTTAGGGGGGCCGCAAGAAATTTGCCCGACTTTTCCGGATTTTGCCCGACAACTACCGAAAAATTTTTTTCCGGAATTTGTTTTGGCGACCTCCCCCCCCACCCCCCCCCCGTCGCCAAAAAAATTTCGGTCAGTGTACCATTTTAGGGGTCAAAAATTTTTTCCGGACTCAGAGAATGCCCTTCGTCTGGAGTTAGTAACTAATAGATAAGCCCGGGTCAAAAGAGTTGACAATGCAAGGGAGTTCAGAGTTGGTAGTCGCGCGACCTTGGTTAGCTGCTCTCAATGCTTTCCCAACACTGTTATACGTATATTCTATTTAAAGTAAAAACACAGTTAGAACACTGATCAAATCTCAGTATCATTTTGTTAATCTGGAGCTTGAAATTTACCCGTGAAACAGCGTGATTGCCAAACTCCCATCAACTCTCTCGAACTCTCATCCCCGTTTAATTATAACCTACTGTAGGTTTGACAACGACTTTGGAATAAAGTCGGAATATTACATTGAATTTTGTTGTCTTGTTTAAATGTCTCGAATATTAAGTTTACAAATTACAAGGTGTCAATATTCGCGGAGTGTGTGGTTTCATCTTATAATATGTATAACGAAAGTTACTTATTAAGCTTTCAATGATGGTGGTATTACACAATGACTCGGTGTTCCATGAGAAAAACATCTGGCCGCATTTTGTGAGCCCAGCGTTATGAAATCTATTGCATTGTCAAATGTAGATCCTCCTAGATAAAGCCTGTAGTCAGAATTTTGCAAGAGAAAGAAATCGAGAAACATTGATAAATGTCCTGCATCTTCATTTCCTTTAGATGGATGTGCAACATGTTCAATAGGACCAGTAATGGATCTCACTTTATCGCCATATTTCTGTTTTGCACGAATTTTCATCTTTTCAGAATCAGCGGCCAAGAACCAAACTATGTTATCCGTTTTGTACTTCTTCTTAATCTCCTTTTGGATTTGCAAGGCACAATCCAAACCTAAATCAATATCTTTCGAATTTTTAAATTTTTTATCTTTGCTGTTGTGGTGCAGAAACACCGAATCTCCTTGACGAATATGTATACCTATAACAATATTTTGGTTGAAACCTAATTTTTCTTTCCATTCCTCCAAACGTTTCTGCAACATGTCAGATTTCTTAAACAAGTAATAAAAGCTACATCCCAACATCTGAGGAATATTAGGCCAAACTGGTAAGTCATACTTTAGAAGACTTGCAAAAAATGGGTATTTATTTCCAATCATTCCAGGGTCATATTCCATTGAGTAGTTTAGCATTTGTTCGTATATTTTTGGATCGGAAGGGTTTTCTATATCATTTAGCTTGACTTGGTATCGACGTCTAACAGTTAATTGTGTTTCATTCACTTTGTAGTTCCATTTTATGTATCGAGGTGCTAAAAACCTATCCAAAGGTGAAGGAATGTCGCAATATATAATGAATGCTCGCTTTGCGACAACTGCAAAATGAAATGCGGTTAATAGATCTCTGAGTCGATTTCCCCAGCCCCCTCCCGAACAACTGAATATATTAAACTTATTCTTGTCCGTTTCTATCAAATGCTGATGAAGCTTTGTGTAATCTTCTTGCCATGAATTCTTGCACAAATCCGTGTGGCCTTTTTCATAATCAGTTGCATTTCTTGGTCTACTTTCTATCCTTTTGGTGCTCATCAAGCTGTAAACATTTTCATTAAGTCCTTTGTTTTCATTTTCCGGGACATTTTCAATCGTCACGTACACTGGCTTTGGTAAGCTGATCTTGGTAGAATTCTTATGTAATGTCAGGAAGTAATTATTCTCAATTATACCTAAACAAAAATAAACCCAGACATAATCAGGTTACATCCGATTTTAAATAACTTATCCTTATAAATGTTGCAAACATGGTTCAGAACTTTGTTGTCAAGTTCAAAAGTTCATATTGAAATTCCCAAGCTTGTTTGTAAACAATGCCTCATTGGTCCCTGAAAAGAAAGAACCCAATAATTAAATACCCAATCAAATATATTATTTACAAACAGGTATCGCAACAAAGTTCGGAATGAAGTTTACAACATATGCATTTAGGGAATATGATAACCCTTTCAGCATGAAAATGTGAAGTTTAACTCAAGTTTTTGGTCCTCAGTGCGGTAATAATATTCAGGAAAATTTCGCGCATAATCTTGTTATACTTCGTGAAAGTGTCTTATCTTGCCTGGCAAGCCTAGCTCGTCTTTGTTATTTGGCTCTAAAGTTGTGAAAAACACCATGCTTATATCTTGCGCCGATTAGAACCTAATTCAAATTATATTAAACACAAAAACAGTTGTGTTGATGCATGTATATTTGCTTCGTGAATGATCATCTAACACATTTGCATGGGCGAGAGAAGTTCCCGCCATACTTCCATCCTAAACCATTGTATCATGTGCGGCCAAAGATTGCGCTCGACTTACTAAATTTGGCGTTTGTATATCAAACTTCCGATTATGTGAATAACTTAATGCGTAATACTGTAGGTTCTGTACATGATAAGCGCGACGTTTTGAACACACTCGCAAGACGCCATCTGTAACTATAGATATTTATGGTTCATGAAGCTCTTGACGGTTAATAATCTCTTCTCGATGAAATAATTCCAAGAAACGGATCCGAATTGGCCCTCTTGCATGCAATGACATCAGGGTTTATTTTAAGAAAAATGTAGAACTGCACATATAGGGATGTTACGAAGGCAATTGGTGTTTGACGGGGGTCGAAGGAATTTTTACCTGCATTTAGGTGACAGAATAATGGTGTGGTTGGCTGGAAGAATTGGAGAAAGGCCAGACAAACTCGATTTCGGGTGCGGGAGCTAGGGAGTGTTCCCCAAAACAATATGAATCTAGAGGCTCTTAGTTCTGGCAAAGATTTGTTTACCCAACCACTCACAAAAAAAAACTGCTTCAAAACATGTAACTGGGAATCATGGATATTGAATATACGTATAACAACCTTAATTTTGCATTTGAGGCAGCAATGAATATTAAGTTCTCCCACTCTAATCTCTTTTGGGTAGCTTCGCTCGCCCCAATTTTACCTTCTTTTTCATTGCGCCAGCACGTAAGTGATTTGTGAGGAAAATAGGAGGGTCTGGAATCCAACCCCAGAAAACGTTTATATTTTTTATGCTCAATTAACATGATGACAGCAATTCTGGAATTTTCTGGAGCATCCACAAGGGCAACGAGTAAATGAGAAGACTGTTTTAAGGCTATTTTTGTTAGTTTGGTGCACATTTGTGTTTTAAGAACTGCACAAATGGGTTTAGAACTGCACATTTTGTGTAGAACTGAACGTTAAAATAAACCCTGAATGACATTCTCATCGACTGAACTGAATCTTACCTGATTTAAGCGCAATAAATCCATTCAACGCCAGAATGTACAGAATCATAAAGAAAACCAAGAATGTCAGTAAAGCCGTCCATGATCTTGACATAATTTTGAAACTACACTGAAACCAAATGAAAGGATGTAACGAGACGACAGTTTAATATAATTTTGTATACGCTAGCTCTGTAAGATCTAAAAACATAATTTATTATAACAGTTGCAATAATAAACTGTAAGAGTATAGAAGATCCAATGTTTTATCATGGATAAATAAAAGGACAATTACACTAATATAAAACGGTCAAGTCGAGCGTTACTTTGCTTTGAAAATCACGAAGGCACACTTATAACTGCGCATTTAGGGGTGGTCATGCACTAATTCAAAATCTGAAACTTCAACAGACTCACGTTGAGGCTATTTATAATTAGTATAAACCCAGCCTAGACCTAGGCCTTCTAGTCTTGTTTATATGTTTTTAATATTCAGCGCTTTTTCACATGAAAAGACTGGGACTAGGTGATTTGGGGGCGGGGCGAAGGAACCAAGCCTAGAAGGCCTAGTTGATTTCCCAACAACAAGGCCAAAACTGCCCTGAAACTGCCCTGGTTGCGAAATGCCCAATTATTGCGTTCTCAAACAGAAGTATTTGCAACTTAACGGCGAATTTAAACGGATACAGGTAAAATAAACTCATTTATAGTATAAACTTACTACTTTTATTTGTATACACGTCTAGAAAATCGGGTTTTTTATCATAAGTTTGAAGCAACACTATTATTATGTTGACAAGGTGTAGCGAAAGCACAAAATGAGTCAAAATATATACCAAAAGTAGAATCTTTCATGAAATTTTGTCTTATACACAACTACATTAATATATATTTTATAAATTTTGGCAAGAAGCAGTCTTGTGTTTGTAAAATATACAAACACATATACAATTATAATTTATTAAATAAAACGGATACATATATTATTAGCCCGTACAGTACTGTATATAAAAACGTACATTGTTTACAAATGGTATATCCGTAATATTTGAACAATAATTTCAAAATCCTCATTCCCAATTCGCAAATATAGTTATTCAAAGCAAAACAGTAGATTGTCTTGCGAATAAAAGTTATTATTTTGTACTTTCGCTTCACCTTGTCAACATATAATAATAGTGTTGCTTCAAACTTTATGATAAAAAACCCGATTTTCTAGACGTGTATACAAATAAAAATAGTAAGTTTATACTATAAATGAGTTTATTTTACCTGTATCGGTTTAAATTCGCTGTTAAGTTGCAAATAATTCTGTTTGAGAACGCAACAATTGGGCATTTCGCAATCAGGGCAGTTTCAGGGCAGTTTTGGCCTTGTTGTTGGGAAATCCACTAGGCCTTCTATTTTTCCGCTTGCGTCAGGCTTGTGTCATTCCTCCGCCCCGCCCCCAAATCACCTGGTCCCAGTCTTTTCATGTGAAAAAGCGCCGAATCTTAAAAAAATAGAAAATAATAAAAATAGAAGGCCTAGGTCTAGGCTGGTATAAACCTACTAGTAGGCTATCACATATCGTGGCTTCTGATTGGCTACGCTACTAGTAGGCTATTAGTGATAGCCTACTAATAGAAAATTCAAAATGGCGGAAAATTCGCGTTTTGCACTTTTGCCGAAGTGTCTGACGAGGGGTCCGACACGGCTGAAATCTCATAGACAACTCGGCCTCGTTGTCTAATTGTTAATTAGATAATAAGTCGTTAAAAATATATATTTATTCGATTCCGCCAAATAATTGGGTTAGGTGGAAAACGCGGACATGCGGACACGCGGACATGCGGACACGCGGACATGCGGACACGCAAGTCAAGTGGAAAACGCGGACATGCGGACACGCAAGTCAAGTGGAAAACGCGGACATGCGGACACGCAAGTCAAGTGGAAAACGCGGACATGCGGACACGCAAGTCAAGTGGAAAACGCGAACATGCGAACACGAAATTTATTAAAC